TTTAGTAAGTTAATGAGAAAAGTTGCATGGAGTCATAGAATCATAAGGCTGAAAGGGACCTCAGAGGTTCTCTAGACCAACCCCTGATCAAGGTAGGCGACCTTACGCCATCCTGGTCAAATGGTTGTCCAGTCTATTTTTGAAACTCTCCAGTGATGGAGCCCCCACAACTCCAGGAGGCAAACTATTCCACTGATTAATTGTTCTCACTGTCAGAAAAATTCTCCTTGCTTCTAGCTTGACTCTCTCTTTAACCAGCTCCCCCACCCAATGACTTCTTATGACTTCTTCTGGTGCCCTAGGGTCTGCCTTAGAGAATAACAGAGGTTTCCCCTGGGTTGCATTGCTTCCGGTCAGAAACCTCAGCTGAGAAACAAAACACAGTCAATACAGATGAAATAACGTGAGTCATCCTGAGAAACAGAGCGCAAAACTCAAAACTTTGTGCTGCCCCAAAGAAGAGGGAGTCAAGCTCTTCTTCAAAGCATCTGAAGGCAGGACAAGAAGCAATGGATGGAAACTAATCAAGGAGAGAAGCAACCTAGAACTAAGGAGAAACTTCCTGATCGTTAAGAACAGTTGATCAGTGGAACAACCTACCTCCAGAAGCTGTGAATGTTCCAACACTGGAAGTTTTTAAGAAGAGACTGGACAGCCATTTGTCTGAAATGGTATAGGGTTTCCTGCCTGAGCAGGGGGTTGGACTAAATGACTTCCAAGGTCCCTTCCAACTTTATTATTATTATTAATCATACTCATAATATTTATTTGGTGGGCTTTCTAATACAATGCCCAGTCATTGATTGCGGGAGCAGCAGATGACCTTGGTTCCCATGGGGCAGAAGATTATTATGACTAGTGAAGCACCTGGGTAAGCCCCCCTCCCTCCCTCCCTCCGGTGTGGCAACCTAGAATGACGAGAATGATGGCTGCAGCCAGGCTCATGGTAGAGTTGACAGCAAGCAGTTTATTGAAAAATATATTCTTGCAAGAGCGGCTGGCTAGCAAGTTGGCACAGCCAAAAAGAGATTTCGGCATAATTTTATTCACTAGGCCAGAAGCCGAAGTCCCTCCCTTGCAACACCATTTGACAAGGACCACAAGGTTTACACCCTAACCAGAACGCCTAACTCACCCATGTGAATCCCCCACCCGTGTTTATATTCCTCCCCACCCTTTGCCTAGTTCCCCACTGGCTTTGGCCCTTCCTAAGTTTCTCTGTTAGCAGTGTGTGAAGGTTTGCCTGGTTCCGTTTTGTTGGAACGCACCTGCACAGGCATGAGTGGTTAGTGTTGTTATTATGAGCAAGCTTTTGTGGTTAAAAACTGTCAGCTAGTTTTTTTAATCCTCATTTCTGAACCTCCCAGAGGGGATCCTTTAGACTGATTCTTTGCAAGGGAGAATGCAATTCCCAACCCCTTTTGGTGCCCCCCTCCCAAAAAAACTTTTAGAGAGAGCTAAAAATGAACAGCACCGTTTCCAATCACATAGATTTTCTTGGTCCATTTCAAAAAGCTAAGTGGGTGTGTCAGACAGGATGGGAGGCCAACAGGAGAAAGTGAAATTCAGCCAGCTAGACTGAGTCATAGTTGGAAATTTATCACAAGGTGACAGTGGAAATTCAATTCTGTCTCCAATTATCAGAAAACTGAATGAGCAAGATCCAGAGGAAATGCTTATGATTCATAAATTAATGTGCCTGAGCTTTTATGGTTCTTTTTCAATTCTTATTCACCTTTTGTCTTGTTCTCTTTCTCTCTCCCTCTCTCATTGTCCCTCCCTCTCAGATATAATAATAATAGTAGTAGTAAAATGGTGAGCACCTGTCCACCCTAGATGAGTTCAAATCACCTGGACCAGATGGGCTACACCCCAAGGTTCTGAAGGAACTGGCAGATGTGAGCCTGCAAAGATGGAGTGAGGAAAGCTAAGGCTCAAAATGAACTAAGGCAGTGATGGCGAACCTTTTAGGGACTGAGTGCCCAAACTGCAACCCAAAACCCACTTATGTATTGTTGTGTGCCGGGTGGGTGTGGCCCATTGGGTGGGTGTGGCCCATTGGGTCGGCGTGGCTGCAGTGGTAACAGCAGACTGGGTGGGACTAAAAAGTTCAGTCAATCAATTCCAACTTTGCGACATCTTTTTTTCCCCACAAAAAGTTGAAATTGATTGATTGATTGAACCTTTTTTTTTTTTTTGCACATGCTGGCAGAGGCCTAAAGTAAAAAGGTTTTATGAAACCCAGCTGAAGGCCTAGGATTGGGGCGACGACATGCATGCCCACAGAGAGGGCTCTGCGTGCCACCTGTGGCCCATGTGCCATAGGTTCGCCACCACAGAACTAAGGCTTGTAACAAAAGTCAAAAATAACAAAAAAAAGCTTCTTTCAACATGTAAAAAACAAGAGAAAAGGAAATGATTGGTCCATTAGTGGGAGGAAGTGGCAAGAAGGTGAGAAGCAACATGGAAAATGCAGAACTACTCAACTCATTTTTTGCATCCGTATTTACACAAAGGGAAAAAACAGTCCAACCTATCAAAAACGGTACTGTAAAAAACAGATTAGAAACGCAAGTTAAGATAGGCAAGAAAATGGTAAGTGAGCACCTGCCCACCCTAGATGAGTTCAAATCACCAGGACCAGATGGACTACACCCCAAGGTTCTGAAGGAACTGTCAGATGTGATCTCAGAACCACTGAACTATATCTTTCAAAGATCCTGGAGCACTGGGGAAGTACCAGAGGACTGGAAAAGAGATGAAATAGTTCCCATCTTCAAAAAAAAGGGGGGGGGAATGGATCCAGGAAACTACAGACCTATCAGCCTGACCTCAATACCTGGGAAGATTCTGAAAAAGATAAACAACAAATCAGCAAACACCTAGAGGCAAACAAAGTCATAACCAAAAGCCAACATAGGTTTGTCAAAAACAGATCATGCCAGACAAATCTTATTGCATTCTTTGACCAGGTGACAAATTTAGTGGACCAGAGGAATGCTGTGGATATAATTTACTTGGACTTCAGTAAGGCATTTGATAAAATGGACCACAACTTACTACTTGATAAGATACACAAATGTGGATTAGACAGCATCACCACCAGATGGATCCATAGCTGGCTGACTGGCTGTACTCAGCGTGTGGTCCTCAATGGAACTGCATCTATATGGAGGGAAGTGTGTGGTGTGGTGCCCCAAGGCTCCGTTCTGGGTCCAGTGCTCTTCAACATCTTCATCAACGATTTGGATGAGGGGATAGATGGGGAACTCATCAAATTTGCAGACGACACCAAGCTGGCAGGAATAGCCAACACTCCAGAAGACAGGCTTAAGATACAGAAGGATCTGGACAGACTTGAACACTGGGCGCTATCTAACAAAATGAAATTTAATGGTGAAAAAAGTAAGGTTCTACATTTAGGAAAGAAAAACCAAATGCACAGGTATATTATAGGTGGTACCTTGCTCAATAGTAGCAACTGTGAGAGGAATCTCGGAGTCCTAGTGGACAATCACTTAAATATGAGCCAGCAGTGTGCTGCAGCTGCCAAAAAGGCCAACGCAGTGCTAGGCTGCTTTAACAAAGGGATAGAATCAAGATCACATGAAGTGTTAATGCCACTTTACAATGCCTTGGTAAGGCCACACTTGGAATACCGCATCCAGTTTTGGTCACCACAATGTAGAAAAGATGTTGAGACTCTAGAAAGAGTACTGTTAGAAGTAAAGTCTTCATCCTGGTTCATCCAAGCCGGGAATAAATAAGCAAACATGGCGACTGCTTTGGGAAGAAGGTTACAGTTTATTGCAGAAAGATGGTTCTTCAGGAAAGTGCAGAGGAGAGAGAAGAACAGAGAGATTGAGCACATGGGCAGTAGGTTTTATAACCCCCCTAGCCTTTTGTTTGGAATAGTTTCCTGTTCCTGTGGCATGAACCTTGAGGCTGTTTCTGAGTGTTTGTCTAGGCCCTGATATCTGTGGTTTAATTCTATTATCATATCCTGCTTCCCAGGTGATGGGGCTGATTCCTAGAGTTTGGGTGGGGTATGCAGATCTTCTCTTTTGTCTTCTTGATTGCTCTGGCTTCAACTTTCTGATGGTTTTACATCTGCATTTGTATTGGGCTAAAGTCTTGCTTGGGGCAGAGAGATAGATTTGGGGCCAGGTTTGGTTTTAAAAAGTCCTTTTGAGGAAAAATATATTTTTCTGCCCTTTTTAATATTTCTTCTCTGGGCTAATTTTCATCAGTACAGAGAAGAGCAACAAAGATGATTAGGGGACTGGAGGCTAAAGCATATAAGGAACGGTTGCTGGAATTGGGTATGTCTAGTTTAATGAAGAGAAAGATAAGGTGTGACATGATAGCAGTCTTCCAATATCTCAGGGGCTGCCACAAAGAAGAAGGAGTCAAGCTATTCTCCAAAGCGCCTGAAGGCAGGACAAGAAGCAATAGATGGAAACTAACCCGCCTCTTCTTAAAAACTTCTAGGGTTGGAGCATTCACAGCTTCTGGAGGCAGGTGGTGACACTGATCAATTGTTCTTAAGGGTCAGGAAATTTCTCCTTAGTTCGAGGCTGCTTCTCTCCTTGATGAGTTTCCATCCGTTGCTTCTTGTCCTGCCTTCAGGCGCCTTGGAGAAGAGCTTGACTCCCTCTTTTTTTGTGGCAGCCCCTGAGATACTGGAAGACTGCTATCCTGTCCCCCCCCCCCCCAGACAGCCTCCCCCACATTTTTGCTTCTGCCCCTCCCCCCCCATTACTTCCTTTGCATCCTTACGGTTTTCCCTCTCGCCCCTTCCCCCCCCGTCCCTTTCCAACTTTGCAAGCCCTTCGGGTTCCCCCCGTTTCTTCCTTTTGGCAAACCCCCCCCCCCATTTTCCCGCCACACAGCTGATTTCCGAGAAGCGCTTTTCCCAGGCGATCCACTCTCGGTTTCCCGCAGTTTAACCGACAGTGCATGATTCGAATTACCCCACAGGGGCGGAGCAACGTCGGGCTTTTAAGAACCCAGCTTTCTTCCCCAACCCCGTTTCTCTTTCCAGACTGCTTCGACTACTAGGAGAAAGTCGAGCGTGGGAACGCGATGGGGCTCTGCTGGATGACCCTGTGTCTGCTGGCGGCCCTCCTGTTGGGGGACTCCTCCGGTAAGCGTTTTCTGGGGTGCCCCGGGGCTTTGCAGACCCTTGTTTTGCTGGCCCGGAATTTATTCAGGAAATCTCCTTCCCCTTCCCCCCCCCCACGCGCGCGCGTGTTCTTATTGCGCGAGCGGGTTAAGCTTGCCGTGTGAATGCGGGTGAAGAACCCACAGCAGGGGGTTTTGCAACTCGGCCCTTGTATGGCTTGTGGACTTCAGCTCTCAGAATTCCTCAGCCAGCGTGCCTGACCCCCATAGGGCAGTGTTTCTCAACTTTGACCATTTTAAGGCATGTGGACTTCAACTCCCAGAATTCCACAGCCAGCATTGCTGGCTGTGGAATTCTGGGAGTTGAAGTCCACATGCCTTAAAATGGTCAAGGTTGAGAAACAACTGCCATAGGGAAAGTCTCCTTGAATAGGCCTCCTAAAGAAGAATCCTTCAGGACTGTCGTCCTTGGATTTGATCCTGCTGTTCTGTCTGCGAATATCCCCAGCGTTGGATTCTGGAATAAACCATTGTTTTGCCTCGTGAGATGCTGCTTCTCCCATGCTGGATCTGTCTGGGTTCTGACTCGGGACAGTCTCTGATAATTAAGATATCCAGGAAAAGTTAGAACCTTTGGTCTTATTGCGCATTTGGTATTTACCCAAGCAAGACTTTGCAGGGGTGGGGGGGAGAGGCAGAGGGTGAAGCAGTGTCAGACAAACGGCTGTCCAGTCTCTTTTTGAAAACTTCCAGTGTTGGAGCATTCACTGCTTCTGGAGGCAGGTGGTTCCACTGGTTAGTTGTTCTCACTGCCAGGAAGTTTCTCCTTAGTTCTAGGTTGCTTCTCTCCTGGATTGGTTTCCATCCGTTGCTTCTTGTCCTGCTGTCTGCTGCTGCTGCTGCTGCTGGATTTCTTCAAGACTAGTTAACTGGTTGATTGATTTTGTGTGATCAAATTTCTTGTTGACTCTTAGCAACCACATCTCCATGACAAGACTGATACACAGAATATAGCCTCTCCTTGATTAGTCAGGTGCTTTGGAGAATAGACTGACTCCTTCTTCCTTGGGGCAGCCCCTGAGATATTGGAACACTGCTATCATGTCCCCCCTCGTCCTTCTCTTCATTAGATTACACATACCCAATTCCTGCAACCCGTCTTTGTATGTTTTAGCCTCCAGTCCCCTGATCATCTTTGCTGCTCTTCTCTGCATCTTCTCAACATCTTTTCTACATCATAAAATGATTTTCTTTCTTTCTTTCTTTCTTTCTTTCTTTCTTTCTTTCTTTCTTTCTTTCTTTCTTTCTTTCTCTCTCTCTTTTCTCTTTCTCTTTTTCTTTTTCTATTTCTCTTTCTCTATCTTTTTTCCCTCTTTCTCTTTTTTCTTTCTCTTTTTCTTTCTTTCTTTCTTTCTTTCTTTCTTTCTTTCTTTCTTTCTTTCCTTCTCTCTTTTTCTCTTTCTTTCTTTCTCTCTCATTCTTTCTCTCTCTCTCTCTCTCATTCTTTCTCTTTCTATCTTTCTATCTTTTTCTTTCTCTTTCATTTTTTCTTTTTTCTTTCTTTTTTTCTTTCCTTCCTTCTCTATTTCTTTCTCTTTTTCTCTTTCTTTCTTTCTCTTTCTCTCTCTCATTCTTTCTCTTTCTTTCTCTCTTTCTCTCTTCTTTCTTTCTTTCCTTCCTTCCTTCCTTCCTTCTCTATTTCTTTCTCTTTTTCTTTCTTTCTTTCTCTTTCTTTCTCTTTCTCATTCTTTCTCTTTCTTTCTTTCTTTCTTTCTTTCTTTCTTTCTTTCTTTCTTTCTTTCTTTCATTCTTTCATGTGAGCCAGTTGTTGATCACTTTTGATACTTCTTTTCTTTTTCTGCAATTGCTTCTCTTCCTTTTCGGCTGGCTGCATCTTTTGATCTTGTTCCACGTGTCTTAAAGATGTCATGTTTGAGAAGAACTTTTAACCCTGCTTAGTGTATAGAATTGACAACTCATTCAGGTGCTGCCACCTTGTGGAGGGAAAGGGGATCTCTAGTTTTGCTGTCACAGCTTGGAATTGTGCACCCCACTTCCTCAAGATTCAACTCATTCTTTCCCCCAAATGGACATCCTGAGGGTTTTTCTTAAAAGAACATACACAAAGACTGCATTTGATTTTTCCCACTGTTTTATTGCACTCTATAGTGAACAGTTAAACTCTATGATGAGCAGTTGTGGGTATGTCTAGTCCAGAGATAGGTAACCTGGACTCTTTTATGATTCGTGGACTTCAACTCCCAGAATTCCTGAGCCAGCATGGCTCAGCTTGGAAACCTCTCCCTTTCCCCTCAGCATGGCTGGCTCAGGAATTCTGGGAATTGAAGTCCACGAGTCATAAAAGAGAAAGGTTGCCTACCCCTGGTCTAGTCTAATGAAGAGAAGGACTAAATTGATAGCTGTCTTCTAACATATGAGGGACTGTCACAGAGAAGAGACGGTCAACCTCTCTTTATAAAGCTTTAGTAAGGCCATACCTAGAATACTGCATCCATTATAAAAAAAGATGTTGAGACTCTAGAAAGAGTGCAGAGAAGAGCAACAAAGATGATCAGGGGATTGGAGGCTAAAACATATAAGGAACGGTTGCTGGAATTGGGGATGTCTAGTCTAATGAAGAGAAGGATAAGGGGTGACATGATAGCAGTGTTTCAATATCTCAGGGGCTGCCCCAAAGAGGAGGGAGTCAAGCTCTTCTCCAAAGCGCCTGAAGGCAGGACAAGAAGCAACGGATGGAAACTAATCAAGGAGAGAAGCAACCTAGAACTAAGGAGAAACTTCCTGACAGTGAGAACAATTAGTCAGTGGAACAACCTGCCTCCAGAAGTTGTGAATGCTCCAACACTGGAAGTTTTTAAGAAGAGACTGGACAGCCATTTGTCTGAAATAGTATAGGGTTTCCTGCCTGAGCAGGGGGTCGGACTAGATGACCTCCAAGGTCCTGTCCAACTCTGTTATTTTATTCTACAGCATAACATTTTACATTGGCCAGAAGTGCTTTACAGCCATAAAGCACCATTTTTGAGGATAATTTCAAACAGTCACTAAACACCCGTTCGAAGCTCTAGGGCAGTGGTTCTCAACCTGTGGGTCGGGACCCCATTTGGGGTCGAACGACCATTTCACGGGGGGTCGCCAAACAACGCAGCCCGCCATTTCCCCCCCCCTTTTCCTGTGCTACTCCCTTTTATTCTATTGGCTTTTGAAAGCCAATAGAATAGACTCTCTTGAATAGAGTCTAATTCTGTTGGCTTTCAAAAGCCAATAGGAATTGTCCAGGCTGACTCTGCCCTGCTGAGCCCGCCAAAAGTCCCATTCCGCAAACGGTGCTGTACCAGTTGAGTAGTCCTCGACTTACGACCGTTGAGTAGTCCTCAACTTACGACCGGTTGGGGGTCGCAGCATTAAAAAGGTTGAGAACCACTGCTCTAGGGAAAGGTGGGTTCTGGGATAAAGCATTGTATACAGTGCTCTTCTATGCTGTGGTGTATCCAATCCTTGGGAAAACAAAGAATCTTCACACACCGGGAGTGCAATTTCTTTGCAGGACTACAGGAATTTTTAATTCTAATTCTAATAATTCTAATTCTAATAATGATATCTTTTTTTTACAAATTTTATTTATAATACAATTAAAAACAAACAAACATTGGATTTGACGTGACATTCCAGTATATACATTCTTATCAGATTATTCCACTTTTTACAATCAATTCTTCACTCTACATATACATCTAAGTTTTATATACAATACTTGTTCTAAAATAACATCTATTTCTATCTTAACATCTTTAATCCTGACTGTCCTCTTCAAATTCCTCCAGTGATAAAATTTATCCCAGGTTTCATAATAAACTGATCCACATTTATCTTTTAATATCATTGTGAGCCTGTCCATTTCCGCACATGCTCATATTTTATGTATTAACTCTTCCTCTGTGGGAATGTCCTTGCTCTTCTATTTTTGCGCAAAAGCAAGCCTAGCTGCAGTCAGGATGTGTAGCAGCAGGTATATTGTTCCCTTGTCGTATTTTTCTGTCGTTATTCCCAACAAGAAGAGTTCAAGTTTTAACTCTAAGTCCAGTGTTAATATATCCCTCAACCAGTTTCATGTCCTGTTCCAATACTCACAGATCTTTGGGCATTCTCACCAAGAGAAGGACAAGGGGGGACATGATAGCAGTATTCCAATATCTCAGGGGCTGCCATAAAGAAGAGCGAGTCAAGCTATTCTCCAAAGCGCCTGAAGGCAGGACAAGAAGCAACGGGTGGAAACTAATCAAGGAGAGAAGCAACCTAGAACTAAGGAGAAACTTCCTGACAGTGAGAACAATTAATCAGTGGAACAACCTGCCTCCAGAAGCGGTAAATGCTCCAACACTGGAAGTTTTTAAGAAGAGACTGGACAGCCATTTGTCCGAAATGGTGTAGGGTTTCCTGCCTGAGCAGGGGGTTGGACTAGATGACCTCCAAGGTCCCTTCCAACTTTACTACTACTATTATTATTATATGGTAGTATGAACCTAATGCTGTTTTACATTTCCAGCATAGGGGTGAAATATTTGAACCCATTTTGGCTAATCTTACGGGTGGGAAATGCCACTAATGATGATATCTATAGCAATAGCATTTAGGCTTCATATGCTGCTGCATAGCACTGTACAACAGTCTGTGGGCAGTTTACAATGTCAGCATATTGCCCTCCAACAATCTGTGTCCTCATTTTACCAACCTTGGAAGAATGGAAGGCTGAGTCAACTTTGAGCCCCATCAGGATCAAATCCGGGGCTGTGGGCAGAGTTTGCCTGCAATACTGCACTCTAACCACTGCACCCTCATGGCTCAATGAGGTTCACCTAGTTTGGCTAACGAAACATCTGCAGAAAAACAACCCAGCTCAAACCAGAGCACCCAGAACCTCTCTCTGACTAGACGGCTTAGCTTGGCTTTACCGTTAACCAAAATCTGCATTTCTCAGATTTAGAGATAGAATTGTAAAGCTCTCCATTCGAAGCATAAAGATGGCAGTCCTCTGGTTTGAGGGCCCCTGTGTGAAGCTTGGAGGAATGTCCAGAGCTGAAGGTCACATTTCTCATCTCCCTTATTAGGCTCTGTCGGGCACTCTCTGCAGTATCAGTACGTGGTGGTATCCGATCCCAGTGATGGACTGCCCCAGTTCTTCACGGTGGGCTATCTGGATGGCCAGGTCATCACTTACTATGACAGTGTGAAAAAGAAGAAGGTGCCGAAGGTGTCCTGGATGGAGGAGGTGGAGAAGGAGGATGCCAACTACTGGAAGGACGGAAGCAGAATCTTGCGGGCCACTCAGCGGGTGCTCCAAGAAGATCTGAGGAATGTTCAAAACCGCTACAAGCAGAAAGAAGGTGAGCAAAGGTAGAATCGGCCATTGGGGCCTCTGGCTTATAAGGGTTGATAAATCGTGTGTGAAGAAATAATCGGTCTGCAAAACCCGAATTCGTCACTCGGGTTTTTCTCCTTCAATTAGAATAGAACGGGGGTGGTGGACAACTATGGCCTCTTTATGACTTGTGGACTTCAACTCCCAGAATTCTGAGTGACTCAGGTATCCTGGGAGTTGAAGTCCACAGGTGTTATGACCCAGGCGGTTAAGGCAAGGCAGGCCTCTAGAGCAGGGGTGTCAAACTGCCGGCCCGCGGGCCAGACGCATCACGACAAAACCGCTCCCACCCCATTGCCGACAATGGGGGAAAAGTTCTGATATGTCGTGCGACGTCACGTGACATCGCGAGTTTGACATGTCTGCTCTAGAGTCCTTTATTTCAACTAATGTTCCAGCAAATGGCCCTTCAACAACTGGTAAGGCTCCACCCCCTACTACCCTGAAGGCCACCATCCTCAATCCCCCATACAACAGCCCCTATGGTACAAAGAAAGCCCACAGAGTAGGAGCAGGCTCATAGGACAAGGTCCAGGATTCCGAATCCAATCCACCAGGCAGGGTCCAGGCACAAGACCAGGACAGTCCTCAGGATACGAAACGGACCCCAGAAAAGAAGCCCTAATGAAGCAAAGGCCAAACGCAGGCCACAAGAGAAGGGCGAGGTCCAAGAGAAAATGCAAAGAGCCATCTTCCAAGCGAGGCAAGGCAAACAGCAACGGACACGAGTCAAAGCCGGGGGGAGTGTAAGCCAAAGCAAACAATTATTCCAGGTAAAGACTTAACTTCCCACGGCTTCTCCTTAAGTCAGTCCACTCCAGGGGTTCCTTGTGAGGAGGGGTGGGGCGACCTCCCGAGTAGCCTTGCAGCCCTTCTCTGAGCTTGCCTATGCTCTGCTCTCTGTGCCCTTGGATCAAGCGGGGGAGGCAGCTGTTCCTCATCAGAGGGGATGGCTGCCTATCAGCCCACTGCCTGTCAGAAGCTGATCCTCCCCTGTATCTGTGCAGGCAGGCTGTCTGGTTGACCACCTCCCCTAAAGTCTGAGGGGGCCACGGCAGCATCATCCTAGCCCAGCGATGGCGAACCTTTTAGAGACCGAGTGCCCAAACCACCCACCCAAAACCCACTTATTTGTCGCAAAGTGCCAGGACCGCATCAGCATTGTGGTGCCCTCAGGGCGGGCATGGGGGTGCGGCCCACTGGGTGAGTGTGGCCCACTGGGTGGGCATGGCTGCGGTTGTCACGGCAGACTGGGTGGGTGTGGCTGGGGTGGGCATGGCCACCCCGATGTTGTTTATGGGGGGACGCCTGTGGGGGCCGGGCAGGGTTGGGGGAGATCCGGGGGCGGTGGGCAGGAGGCCCTGCATAGATGGGAGGCACGCAATCCTAGCTAGGACTGGGGGGGCCATGGATCTGACAGAGATCCAGTATGGGCATGCTCCACCACCTCTACTTCAGCTTGCTAGCTGGCCGCTTCGCCTCCTTTGCGCTGGGTGGGGCTGCTGCTCTGGGTGGCAGCAGTGGCCTAATGGACCTGCGCAAGCTGCTGGCAGTGGTGGCGCGCATGCCTACAGAGAGGGCTCTGAGTGCTGCCTCTGGCATGCGTGCCATAGGTTCACCACCACTGTCCTAGCCTCTGGCCTATCCAAACATGCTAGGGGAGACATGCTACCCCTGTCAGATAGTCCCAGTTCCACCTCCTCCTCCTCCTCCTCTGAACCAGGCTCCAATGGGGCCATGACAACAGGTTGTAAAGGGACCATAGTTGCCCACCCTGCCTTAGAAGAAGGAAGTGAGTAGCGATCCCTCCTCCTTCGATCTCTTGCATATTGGAGGGCATGTGGGATGTAGGGGAGGAAGAATGAGGGCAGCCCCCCACCCACAAAGAAAGGGAGATGCTGGTCTTGCTGCCCACAAGAATTTTTGGTCCGGTAATTCTCACTCCCTCTCCTTTATGTCTTTTAAGTCCAATAGCAACATCTGGTGGCTCAGTGTATTTCTGGATAAACGGTTGTACGGAGGTGACCATTTTTTGAGGGCAGTCCTAGGGAAGAAATGGCTCCACTGTGCTTGATTTTTTTTTTTATTTTCTCTGTGCAGTTTACGTGTTTTAATTTTTTAATAGGTTTTTTTTTTCATTTTTAATCATAACCTTTTTTGTATTTTTATAATGATTATGATCTATATCAGGAGTCTCCAAACTTGGCAACTTTAAGACTTGTGGACTTCAATGGCCAGAATTCTTCAGCAAGTCATGCTTCAATTCTGGGAGTGGCCAGGTTTGGAGAATCCTGGTCTATATGTTTGATTGATTGCTGTACATTGCCCCAAGGGTTGTTTTGTGTGCGAGGGGCAGTTGTGTAAATGAATGAGTGAATGAATGCTTCATTTATTCATTTATTTATATTTCACATTTCTTACTGCCCACCTCGTTCATCAAGAACGATTGCGGGAACTAGGTTTGGCTAGTCTAGAGAAAAGAATGAGTGGGGGGGGGGGCATGATAGCAGTCTTACAATATTTGAAGGGCTGCCACAAAGAAGAGGGGGTCGACTTATTTTCCAAAGCACCAGAAGGCAGGACAAGAAACAACGGAGGAAACTAATCAAGGAGAGAAGCAATCTAGAATTAAGGAGAAACTTCCTAACAGGGAGGACAATTAACCAGTGGAACAGCTTGCCTCCAGAAATCGTGGGCGCTCCATCGCTGGAGGTTTTTAAGAAGAGACTGGACAGTCACTTGTCTGAAAGGGTATAGGTCTCCTGCTTGAGCAGGGGGCTGGACTGGAAGATCTCCAAGGTCCCTTCCAGCTCTGTTCTGATTAATAATAATAAATGGATTAATAATAATAAATGGATTGACTCCAGATTAATAAATAAATAAAATTAAGAAGATGTAGATTTATTCTCCATAGTGCGTGAAGGTAGGACAAGGTCTAACGTGTCGAAGCTTTACAGAAAGCCATCCAGTCTCAGAGGGTGGAAAATCTTGACTGTCAAGAACTATTAAGCAAGGGAATCGCTTATTTCCTGAAGTTGTGGTTGTCTACCTTTGGTGGACAACCTCTTTTGTGGGGAGGGGCTACTCGGGCCCTTCTTCATCCCCTTTGTGACTTTTTTCCCCCTCAGGGTTTCACACTTGGCAGGTCACTTATGGCTGTGGGTTCACAGGAAACGGGAGCAAAGATGGTTATTCACAGTACGGCTACGACGGGAGGACCTTCCTCACCTTCGACAAAGAGACACTGAGCTGGGTGGCTTCTGAGCCTCAGGCCCAGATCACCAAGAGGAATTGGGATGTTAATGTGCCGTGGTCCCGGAGAAATAAAGTCTACCTGGAGAAGGAATGCATTGAGTGGCTGGAGAAGTACCTGTCGTATAGGAGGAAGGAGATGCTGCTGAAGGCAGGTGCGTATCCCAGGGGAGGGGAAATACAGTGCTGGATTTATAGTAGATGAGGTGTTTCTGTTTCTCAGCCTTGGCAATCTGAAGATGTGTGGACATCAAATCCCAGAATTCCCCAGGCACACGACTTTAAGTGGCCAAGCTTGAGAAGCGTTGCCCTAAGCCAGGGGTCCCAGTTGCCGGACCCGGGCCCACTATTGGGCTGTGACCCGTTTGGAAACATGCCGCGTGAGCGTGTGTGCGCACAGCTCTACTTGCATGAGTGGCAGCCACTCACACTCCTGCGTGAAGCTCCACTTGTGCGAGCGGCAGGCGCTCGCACTTCTGCGCAAATCCCCATTTGCATGGGAGGCTGGCCCTTGCGCCAGTGTGTGAAGCTCCACTTGTGCAAGCAGCAGGCACTCACACTTCTGCGCGAATTCCCATTTGCGGGAGCTGTGGGCACTCCCCTCTGCTGCTTGTGCAAATGGAGTTGTGTGTGCTTCTGCACATGCCAGACACTCTCTCCAAACCATTCCCTCTTCCCCCTCCCACTGGGACACCAAGCCAGAAAGTTGGGGACCGCTGTCCTAAGCAATATAAAGCTTGGTGGCTGCTTGTTAAAAAGTTACACCGGATCTCAGTAAGGTGTATAGCCGAAGATGCATTCAATGGGAAATTAGTATTTTCAGACATGCAAGATTCACTTAAACCAGTATAAATAAAATAGTAGCTCATCTGGCCTGTTTTATGTCTGGTCTACCTGGGATGGCTGGCACCCCCTTTATAGTCCGTTTTGTGTCATTTGCACTTCTGATAAGCATTCTTTCAGTTCTATCTTTTTTTGTGATTAGTAAAAATGTTGCTGAATAAATTGGTTGCAGGCCTAAACGTCTATAGAGATCCTCAGTCATCCAGGTCACGATGTCCGTAAGATACTTTTTTTTTTTTTTTTAAAAAAAAGGCAATTGGATTTTCTGGTTTTCCTTTGGAGACATTTCGCTTCTCATCCAAGAAGCTTCTTCAGCTCTGATTAGATGGTGGGGAATGGAAGGATGTATACGTATTCCTTGCAGAAAGCAGGTGATTTGCATTCTAAGGAGTCGTTGAGGCCACTTGGAGGTTTATCTGTGTTGTCAGAGTCACCTGAATACAGCTAATCCGCGAGTTATGAGCGCTTGTTCGAAGTTACACAATAAGCGCTCCCTAGTGTTTACGAGCAAGTCCCAAAATTTGCAAGTCCCACAGCAGTTGTTTGCCCTTACGAACAACTGCAGAGGCTCTGCAACATTTACCCTATTTCCCCCCCTCCACTCCCCACAACTGCTTCCCTCTCCCATCCTGCCACACCGGACTCACCTTACAAAAACCTGACTCCTCTCTGCCACAGTTTCTTTGCCTTTGAAATATAGGAGAGTCGATGGAAGCTCTCGGCTGCCATAATATCGTGCAGGTTCAGGCACCCCTCTTCTTTTGCAAAGAATGGGTGCCTGAACTCTCGTGAGATCACGGACCCCAGAAACTCTCCTTTTCAGCACGAAAAGTGTTCACTGTGCCTGTTTCCTGTTCCCCTCCAACTCCTTTCCTCCACCGCTGGAACACTTTTCACCTTGGGGAGACTGGATGCGTGCAAATGGGGTGTTTGGAAACAGAGCAAATCGCTTCACTTCCAAGCACCCGTCTGTACACCGACGGAAGCTTCTAGTCTCCATCTGGGCAAAAAAGTGTTTGAATGTCTATGGGATGTTTAGAAATGGAGCAAATCGCTCCATATCCAAGCGTCCCATTGGAGCTCAAACACTTTTTACCTGGATGGAGACCTTGGGAAGACTGGAAGCTCTGTCTGTTTGCAAATGAGGTGCTTGGAAATGAAGCGAATCACTTTGTTTCCAAGCACCCCCATTTGCATACAGACAGCTTCCAGGCTCCCCAACATCTCTGTCCATGATTTCACAAGAGTTCAGGCACC